AGACATTACTTTGCCAATAAAGGTCTGTCTGGTCAAGGCTATGGTTTTTCCAGTGGTCATGTATGGATGTGAGAGTTGGACTGTGAAGAAAGCTGATGCTTTTGAACTGTGGTGTTGGAGAAGACTCTTGAGAGTCCCTTGGACTGCAAGGAGATCCAACCAGTCCATCGTAAAGGAGATCAGTCCTGGGTGTTCATTGGAAGGACTGATGCTGAAGCTGAAACTCCAGTACTCTGCCACCTCATGCGAAGAGTTGACTCATTGGAAAAGACCCTGATCCTGGGAGGGATTGGGGGCAGGAGGAGAATGGGACGACAGAGGATGAGATGGCTGGATGGCATCACCAACTTGGCATGGGTTTGGGTAGACTCCGGGAGTTGGTGATGGACATGGAGGCCTGGCGTGCTGCGATTCATGGCGTCGCAAAGAGTAGGACACAACTGAGCGACTGAACTGAACTGAAGTCTGACACACCCATTCAATTACACGTCGCCTATGGCTGTTTTTGAGCTATGGCGACAGTTTGCATAGTTGTGACAGAGACCGTATGGCCCACAAAGCCAAAAGTATTTACTGTTTGGCACTTCGCAAAAAAATTTTGCAGATCCCTGGCCTGGCGTGACAGCCAGATTCCCATTCCAGCCCCGGATGGCAGGGGAATGCCTCCAGCTCCTTCTTCAGTTCCTAGTCCCTACAGCCTTTTCTCTCAATTTGCTTCTGCTCTGTGGAGGTGGTGATCTTCTGTCTCCACTGCCAGCCTTTCTCATTCCCTGCATCAGTGATTTAGGTAAAAACACGAGTTCATGTCCGCACTGCAAACACTGTCCTTCCTGTCTGTCCCTCCTCTTCCTTAAGCTCTCTCTGGACAGGGGCACCTCCGTGCCCCCCACCCCCACCCACTTCCTGCCCATTTGTTTCCTGGTTGTTGGCTCCCTGTCGTCTTCCCTATTTTTCAGGATTTTTCTGTTCATCAGACAAAGAGCTATGTCTTGAGGTAAAACCTGGACAGGTTTTCCTTGTTCTACCACCATCTGTCTTTAATTAATAGAGATTGCTCCCAGATTCCAGTGTTGGGTCATCTGTCAGTTTAGTTCTTGGCATTAGTGTGAATTTTCATTTTTTTCATTGTCTTTATAGCTATTTTGGAACAAAACAAGGAGAGGAAACGTGGGTAACTGCCAAGTAGATGCCATTTTGAAGGAATCAAAGATGCATTTCAAAGCTACGTCTGGTCCATCTTGAGGCAGTCTCTGTAGCTTTGTGTGTATTTGATAAAAGAAGAAAATGCCGGAACACTTCCCTTGTCTGAGGACCTTTTGTCGACTGACCTCAGTTCTCTGGCACACACCCAGACAGTCTGCACGCAGCCAGAGAGCTGCTGCGATGTCAGTGCTCTGAAGGTTGTTCACCATACCCAGAGGACAGCAGTTCCATCTCTCGCTCCAGGCCTATTGACCCATGCTTTGCATACAGTTCTAACAAGCTTGGTCTTTCTGCTTTCCTAGCTCACAGCCAAATCAGAATCAGCAAATCTGTAGGGAGTAGCGGACATGTGGGGGCTACCTTGGTGGCTCAGTGGCAAAGAACTCACCTGCCAATGCAGGAGACGTGAGTTTGATCCCTGAGTCGGAAAGATCCCGTGGAGAAGGAGATGGCAACCCACACCAGTATTCTTGGCTGGAAAATCCCATGGACAGAGGAGCCTGGCAGGCTGTAGTCCATGGGGTCACAAAAGGATGAGACACGACTTAGGAACTGAACAACAGTAACGAGGGTACTTTGACAACGACAAGCGCACTGACCTGATGAGAATTTCTGGCTGACAGAAAGGAAAGACATGTGATCCACAAAAAATAAACAACAGCAAACCAGATACAGCTATAAATCTGCACATGTTGAGGCTGGCACCATTTCCTATAAGGGCATAGTGGCTCAATGTGGTCCTCTGACTCTGGTTTGAGTCAACAGTCACTCCTCTGAGCCTTTCCTCTTCCAGCCTGGGTCCTCCTTACAAGTCTTGAGTGCAGAGGCCCTGTCCCACCTCCCACAGCTGTGGACGGTTCAGACTGTGGTTCTAACACTGACTTCACATTGGTCTTACCTGGGGAACTTTAAAAATCTGGACACGCAGGTTATCCTTTAAGCCAGTGAAATCAGAATGTCTTGGGGGGAACCCAGGCATCAGTGTTTTCCTAAAGCTTCTGGGCCATTCCACTGTGTAGCCAGGTAGGGAACCAGGCTGTTAGAATCACAGGCGGGGCTGAGAGCAGTGCCGCATGCCTGGTTAGTGCCCGTGGGTGGCTGTGGCTATTGGGTGACGGACTTTTGATGTTCACGAGGGTGGCTGTGATTGGTCTCACGGGGTCCAGAGCTGGATATAATCAGGCAGTAATGGATGCCACACACTTCAAGAACAGCCTTTGGCCCAGGTGGGTACTTGGCTATGAAGAGAAGAGCTGTAGATGCTGCCAGGAGGGAGCGAAGGGAGGAAGGGAAGCTGGAGGTGCCCGGCCAGGTCATCCCAGGGGCCACCTGCCCTCCTGCCTGCAGTGCAGGGCGCACTTGGAATCAGCACCATGGTGCCTTGCTGAACTCAACTGTCTTGCCTGTAGAATGAGAGTCATGGTCTCTCCCTCGAGGGACTGCCCAGAGGCTCGGAGGAGCTGGTGTGCTGTCAGGGGCTGCCTCCAGGGCCATGATGGGAGGTGGGGGTCTGGGGGCTGCTGAGATTCCACCCTACAGAGGAGGCATGGCAGGTGGTTGACCAGAATGCAAGTACTGATGATGTGGGCCAAAAAAATAATAATGAAAAAGCGATGAGTGGGTTCAAGGCCATCCATGCAGTGACGTCATCAGCACTGCTGGCAATTCAGTTCTTTCCCGAGTGGAGCAAGCAGGCGGGGATTCTAGCCAGCTCGCTGGAAACGCAAGCTACTTGTGCCTGACCTGGGTTCAGCCCCAGCAGTGGCTTTGCCGTGAGCATCACCTGCCCCTGAGTTGGCAGAGACGTGGCCAAGAGTGGCTCTTCCCAGCAGTGAGGTGCGGTGCCATGGGGTGGGGGAGGGGGTGTCAGTGGCACTGACTATGGGTTTCGGTCACTGTCACCTTGCATCTCAACGTCCCTGGTGGACTGCAGGCCTCTCTCTCAGGATGCATCACACCCCACCTTCTGAGAGGTCCTGACTCCAGTAGCCACGCAGCCATCAGGTGGCAGGAGGGGCTGACACTGTGGACTCTGGTGCCCCCGGGCAGGGCATGCTGATGGACAGGGGGTGGTCCAAGGACCCACACCCTGGGGAGCAGGAAGGGCTGTTTTTCTCATTTCCTGAGACTGGTTCCTAATGGGGTGCCCTAATGGCAGGAGGGAGCTGCCAGACCCATGGCTCCCAGGGCAACAGGATAGAACTCTTTCAACTTTAATCAGGAGCCCGAAGGAGGCAACCATCTCCCATGGGACCAAAGTCTGACTCTGGGGTGCTCTCTGAATATTTCTGCAGATCTAGGTGATGGTTTGGGGTGACAGGGGGGCCCCAGGAGGTCTGGCCTTGTTGTCCTGTGCTCCCACACAAATCACTCCTTACTCCACCCTGGCCTGGGTTTTCCCCTTTAGAGTATGAGGGGCTGGCACCTGCTTCTGGAGCAGTCGTGTGTGCTTCCCCTTCACCTTTCTAGTCCCCTCGCCAGGACACACACCCAGCCCAATTCCAGCGAGTACAGTGACCTTCCATCTCAGACCCAAGTTCAAGGCCCAGCCTTGACTTGCTAGCTGTCTGGGATGCACTGGCAGGTGGTCTCTGATACCTAATCTGTAGAATGGGAATAACCCCCACAGCTTGAGTCAAAGAAAGGTTGTGAGAATCCAGTGAGAGCCAGCGTGCTGAGTGGTTGTGCAGGGGGGGCTGGAGTGATATATTGGGACTCCATGGTGGGCTGGCCATCATGCCAACAGCTGATGTGTGAACACAGATCAGGCAAAAGAACTGTATCACCTTATCTGGTAAAGAATTCGCCTGCAGCAGGAGACCCCAGTTCAATTCCTGGGTCGGGAAGATCCCCTAGAAAAGGGATCGGCTACCCACTCCGGTATTCTTGGTCTTCCCTGGTGGCTCAGCTGGTAAAGAATTCACCTGCAATGCAGGAGACCTGGGTTCGATCCCTGGGTTGGGAAGATACCCTGGAGAAGGGAACGGCTACCCGCTCCAGTATTCTAGCCTGTAGAATTCCATGGACTGTATAGTCCATGGGGTTGCAGAGTTGGACATGACTGAGCAACTTTGACTTTCACTTCCAACTGAAGAGCTGGTGGAGAGAGGGCCGGGTGGGGCTGGTGTTGGAGGTCTGCCTCTGTTGGGCTGACACAGGCCACCCCCAGGGGAAGCAGGCCCCCCACATCCTGCCTGGCTGACGCTGGGATGCCCCCAAAGTGATACCCTGCAGACACAGACCCAGCAGCCCTGCCTCTAAGCAGTGGTGGGGCTCATTAGAACTGAACTCTTCTTCGTGGAGCATTTTATTTGCACACTCCAGTAGCGTGGACACCAAAAGGGTTTTCTCCTGCTTCATGGGCTGCTAATTTTCTCTGTGACCTCTATTGTTGGGGCCTGACCCCAGTCAGAGGCTGCTCGCCATGGAAGCTAGCGCCTGACACAGACCCAGGGCGCGGGGCGACAATGAGGCCTCTATCGGCTTTAATCAGGCTCCGGGTGCATCTTAAGAACGGGGGAATTTGTGTGGCGCTCCGAAGCCCTGGGTGGCACAATGCAGGAGCCCGCAGAATCCCCGTGCGGAGGCCAGGGGGGCCAGCAGCGGGTGGGTCAGGCGAGGACCTCTTTGTCCCAGCACTACTGGAGAGGGCCAGACCTGCCCTGAATGGCCGCCGGGGCTGCCTGGCCTGTGGGTATCAGCAGCCTCTGGGTATTTAGGGAGGCGGCCGCCCACCCCGACCGCCAGCCTATTCTTCGCCTAATTAAGTTTTGTCTGTGCTCTCCCGTCTCCTGCAGACTGTGATTCCTACTGCAAGGCCTCCAAAGGGAAGCTGAAGATAAACATGAAAAAATACTGCAAGAAGGACTATGGTGAGTGAGAGCCCTCTTGTCGGGGGAGGGGGAGGGCACTATGTGACCAGTGGGGTGCAGGGGGCCCCGTGTGGGTGTTGGTCCCAGAGTGCCTGTGACCAGCCTGGAGCCAAGGGGGATGGATCTTGTGTCTGGGAATTTCCCAGCTCTTCCTCCTTAGAGGCAGGGGGTGTGTGTGGCCACAGATGTGGGGACTGCATTCTCCCCCTGGCCCTGCATCCTGGCCACTGGGGCTCCTGGGCTTCACTCTCCCCCTGAGGGGCTGTGTGGCTGCAAATCAGTCGCTTTACCTCTCTGGTCTTCGGTGCCCTCATCAGTACTCACGGGCATTCAGCCTGAGGCTCTGTAACTCAAAGAGAAGTCTTCCGGGCATTGAAGAAAGGGGAGAACTCCGTGGTATGTTTAAAATGCCGACTTGAGAGAGTTGACTCCACAAAATGGACCTACCGGGCTGGGTGAAGAATCTGCATTTTAAGCTGCTCACTGGTAATTCTGATGCACCGGAAGTTTGACCAGAGCCTCAGGGATCACGGAGGGCCTTTTCAGTCGAGAGCTGGGGTCTGCACAGACTCTCTGCACTGCAGACCTCAGGCTGTCTTCCCGGGATGAGTATCCCAGCAGCCAGTCTCCCCTGCAGCATCTACCCCAGCGCCCTGGAGGTGGGGGCCTTGCACCTCTCCTTTGTCAGGCGCTCCTCTGCCGCCTTCCATCAGTTCTGCCCGTGGGAGGGCAACGCCGGCTCCGTGGTTTCTGGTCCCTGAGCTGGCTGGAGGCCTGGGCTGGCCAGACCTCACGGGACTCAGGGTCAAGGCTGACTTCAGGGTGGGTGGGGGCCTGCGGGAGAAAGGGGGCCCCTCACAGCCCCCAGGCAGGTGTCTGCAGATAGCTGAGAGGCAAACAGAAATTCTGAGGAGATGGTCCAGCTGTCTGCTGGCGGAGCTGGGGAGGCCAAAGTGTGGAGGCCAAGGTGTTCGACACTCCGGCAGGAGGTAGCCGCAGCCTGGGCACCCACCCAGGGGCCTGGTCTTTCCAACTCTGGGGCCCTCCTCCTGACCCGGTGGGCCTGGCTATTTTGAGCTGAGGCTGGGTCCCTGCTTCCTGGACCCCAAAGTCCACTCTGCCCATCCCCCTCTGCCTACCTCCCCACTCCAGCTGGGTGTTCCTGGTCTTGCCTGCTCTGTTCCTCAGCGGCCCTGCCCCTTCTAGCACCACCCAGCCGCTTCTGGGGAAGGGTCAGCGACCTGTGTTTTCTACCCATCTTTCCTAGTCTGCCCTGGTCGGTGCCTTGCAAGGGATCTGGGGCGAGTCCAGTTGTGTCTCTGAGCTGTGGTTTCCTTGTCTGTCATGTGGGGGTGATGCCCGACTGTGTCATATGGAAGCACTCAGCATGGGGCCAGGTGCTTGGTGGGCTCCTGGTAAAGAGTGGCTCTGGCTGGTCCCCTGGAAGCCAGGTGGCAGGGCAGGAAGAAGTGGACTGGGGAGGGAACAGTGACCCAGTGCTGAGACCTCGTCCACAACCTGCATGGCGTCCCTCCCAGACCCCAGGGGTTCCGGTAACCTGGCCTGGACACCAGGCCTTCGGGGTCTTATTGGGGCAGATGCTTGAACCAAATGCAAGGTGTCCTTCTTTTATGAGGACAATGGTCAGGACCTTTTAGCAAAGGGAAGAGAAAGGTGAGGCCCAAAGGAACCCTGAGAACTTCTAAAACGTCCTCATTTTATTGTGCACACACATGTGTGTGCGCATATACCCAGGCACATGTGTGCACACAAGTAGGTGCACACACATCCCACACGGAATCCCAGTACATGATTGTACTGGAGCAGCTGGTAGGTTTTGTGTGTCTGTTCCGAAGCGGCCAGGCCCTGGGTCCATAGCAAATTTCTGAAAAAAGCCCCTTTAAAGTACTTGTATCCCAAAGTAACTTTTGTGGGAAAAGCCAACCTTGATTTTGAAAACAAACTTTGGGGTGATTTAAGGATAAAGGGAGTGCTGTCTCTGACCCAGGGTGACAGTAGCCACCAGAGGCCCCGGTGGTTTGGGGTGAGGCTTGGGTGACCCCGTGCTCCCAACCCCGAGCTGGCAGCATCTGCTGAGGACGGCAAGGTGGGATATGGGGAAGGCCCGAGGTCCTGTGGTGTCCCAGACTTAGGGCTGGGGGCCAAATACAGATGCCCAGGGCCAGAGAGCTAGGGTCACAGGGGAGACCCCCGGCCTGTCACTCCGCCACCCCTTATCTCCCTCCCCCCCAGAGAACAGGAGGAAGGAGCAGCTCGGCCACCTGGGGGAAGGGTGGGTTTGATTTCAGTTTGGAGCATCCTTTGAGCAGACAGATGCTGGGGAGACTTTCTGTGAAGGGTTATCCACCGCCCCTGTTCTATTCCTCCAATGAGAAAATTGGACTTCTGTTTAAAATTACCCAATGGGTCCGTTTTCCACCTGGTTCTCTTGGACTTGTTTTGTTCCCTTCCAACTTCTTTTCCTCCATTGAATTCTGCCTCCCCCATCCCTGATACTTCCGGGGGCACTTTGGCTCCCTCTGACTCTCCTGCCCACCCCTTGGCAGCAGGCAGGCCCCTATCTCTGCAGAACGGGGCCTGGCTCCCTCTTGTTTTGGACCCAGGGGGGCCCTCCCTGAGCCCTGCCTTGGCTGTGCGCCACCCTCCCAACCCTGGGCAACAAGGCCGTGTGTGGGGAGTGGGGACTCAGTCTCTGGACTCCTCTTGCCTTTTGCTCCCTGAGTCAGTCCTCCCTTCCTCGCCCTCGACTTCCACCTGGATTGTCCGAGGGAAGCTGGTGTTCTAGGTGGGGCCCCAGTCCAGCTGGCTGACTGGCCCAGCAGAGCCCCAGCCTCCCTCCTGCCCCCTCATCACGTTTATCCCCTGGACCCCATCCATCCCAAAACCAAGAAAGTGAAAGTCGCTCAGTTGTGTCCAACTCTTTGTGACCCCATGGACTATACAGTCCATGGAATTCTCCAGGCCAGAATACTGGAGTAGATAGCCATTCTTCAGGGGCTCTTCCCAACCCAGGGATCGAACCCAGGTCTTCCCAGACTTCACCACGGCCACCCCGGCTCCTGGCCCCACACTGCTGCCAGCCCACTGCCCAGGTGTCCACATTTCTGCTGCCGGGCAAGATTTGAGGAGCCACAGAGTCAGGAGAGAAGCGGGGTGCCCCCTCAGGGTGCTGACGAGGTCTGGAGCGTGGTGCCCTCATCCCGCCTTTAAGGTCCTCATCCCCACACTCTGGCCTGGAGGTCCGGACTGGTGCTGCTCCGCCCATCCCCCAAAGGGTCCCCAGCATTGTCCATGACACTCTCGGGGTTACCTGAGAGTTGGGGAGCAGCCCACCCAGCTCGACACCCAGGCCTGTGTGTTCAGGCAGGAGGCAGGACAAGGAAGTGTCCAGAGAGGGGTTGCAGGGGCTTCTGGGGAGGGAGACCCCAGCAGGCGGGGGCGGGGCGCGGACTGGGAGAGGCTTGTGGAGGGCCGAGTGAGTGGTATCCAGGGATGGCTGGGCAGGGGCAGCCGGGCCGCAGCTGCAGGCCTTGCTCCGAGGCCGGGGGCCAGGTCTCCCTCTGGGCTCTGCGCGCCTGGCTGGGTCCCTGGAGGAGGGGTCCCTTCCACACCCGCAGATCTGGGCCAGGTGAGCAGGAGGAGGGGGAACTGACTGGACTGGGCGGTGGCCAGTGTGCAGGCGGCTGGAGCAGTGGCCTGGGCTGGCTGGGGTCCGCTGGTCCTGCCCGTGTTCCCAGTGAGAGAGGGCCCAGCAGGTGGGGGTGGGTGCCACACGAAGCAAGCAGGAATTGGGGTCGGCAAGGCCTGAGGGCCAAGCCCTGTGCCTTTCTGGTCTGGAGAAACCCTAGGACCGGAAAGATGGCAGTTCCATTCCCATCTGTAGGTAGGGAAGGGCCACTGGCCACAGAACCTGAGGAAGACTCCACGTTCGCTGTGTGGCTGTGGACCAGGCTGGGCCTCAGTTTCCTGGTCTGGCCAGTGGAGGTGGATGAAGGGATGCGCTGTCCTTCCAGGTATGGCAGGAGGGCGGCCCTGCTGTGCCATCTCCAGGGAACAAGGAGGGGCTCATGGCACCCACTGTCATCGCTGGCCCCCTGTCCCGGGCCACCTCAGCCCTCTGTTGCCCTCTAGGGGAATCGGCTCACCTTGCAAATGCTGAGAAGGCACTCGTGGGCAGGCTCAGGGTGGGGCAGTTATGCACAAAAATGGGTGTTTTTTATTACTTTCGAGTGTAGTAGCATTTCCCGTCAACTTTTCAGGAAAACCTAGCCGAGAGGGGCCCTTCTTTTGTGTAGAGCGCTCCCAGTGAGTGCGTGGAGATGTGTGCGGAGATGTGTGCACCCATGAGCATTCACCATGAAGCCTGCATGCGCTCAGCAGCTCCCACATGGGCAGAGCCTGTCCATCCCTTCTGCAGTCACTGGCCCTGTGGCTCATTTACCTGGAAGCCCGGGCTCCAGAACCTCGGTCTGTGGAGACAGGATGGCCGGATGATGTGTCCCTGGGCATTTACTGGGGGGTTGTTGGGAAAGGCCCCCTCGTGACAGTGACTTCAGGCCAAGACACCCCTCAGCTTCTACCCCCCGAGTCACATGGAAGGGGGGCCAGCCTGCCCCTGTCACGCCACCCTCCCCATCCAGTCTAGATCACAGACTCCTTGGCCAGGGTCTAGCCTGCAGTGGGCGTAAGCGGGACCTGGCCCATCCTCCAGAGAGAGAGTGTGGAGGGAAGGCTTCCTGGAGGAGGCAGCCCAGGTAGTCGGTGCTCACTGGGCAAGTCAAGGCTCCCAGGCAGAGGGAGCAAAGTGTCTGAACACAGAGACAGGAGCAGGCTGGGGAGATGGGAGGAGGGGGCACATGGGGGTGCAGGGGCGGAGGCCAGGGAGGCAGGGAGGCTGGTGAGGGTTCATGTCCACGTGCAGAAGCCACTCAGAGGCCACCAGAGAGCCAGCCCCACTCACACTGGCACACAGCGGGCTGCCACCCACCTCTGCTTCCCTGGGATTCAGAGGCGGAGGGAGAGGACAGACAGCCCGTATTCTGAAAGGTGAGATCATCTCACTTTTGCCAGTTCTTGGAAAAATGATTCGTTCCCAGAAATGTCTATTAGTCACCCCCTTTGTTGAAAGACATTTTGGCACCAACGGATGGAAAAATCAGAATGCTTTTCATGAGATGATCGGTCTCGCGCCTTCCTCCCGCCATCCCTCAAGGATGATTTCTGAGGATAACAGCTTGAAGAGGAAGTCCTCTTGGCATCTGTAGGGAGGAACTGGGTTTGTGAGGCTGTGTGTGTGTGTGTGTGTGTGTGTGTGCACACATGTGCTGTCTTATGGGCCCGCAGCAGAGGAGAGCTTGGGGACCTAAGTGGACCCCTCCTCCGCCAAGTATTGATACCTTGTCTCTCCTGGGGCAGCAGAAACCCCAGAGATGAGGCCTTGTCAAGCTGGTGACTGTTCCTCCTCTGCAGGCCCTGGATGGGCACCTCACAGTCTTCATTCTCACCCTGGGTGAGTCCTCAAAAACACCTAAGGAGGGGAAGGCCTTTTCTTCTGGCCGATGGGATGCTAAGACTCAGCAAGATAAGGAGCATGCCCAAGACTGGGGCCCCTGAGGCCTGAGATCTTTATGTGCCCTGCCTGCACCCCCCCATGTCAGGATGCCAAGTCTTTGTCAACAGAATGGGTGCTGCCCCCGCTTGAGGGTCAAGGGCTGGTTCCCCCCCATGGGACCCCTGATTCTCTCACTCCTGATAAGCCACAAAGGCGTTTCTGCGGGGGAACAGCAGGAGTGGTCACTGTGGTGCTGGGGTGATTGTCACCATTGGGGGAGGGCTGTTGGAGACGATGGAGCCAAGATGATGGGTGAGGATGTCGGTGATTCTGGCAGAGGCAGGGTGGGTATGACCACTCAGTGGTGGGCTTGGCTGTGTGGCAGAGGAGGGAGGTCACGGGCAGCTCCATGATGGAGGAAGGACGAGACCGAGCTAGCAGTGGAGACGATGCTGGTGGTGGAGGGACTGCAGATGCCCGTGGAGCTGGCGTAGATTAGAGTGGGCGCCTCTACTCAGGCCAGGGATGAGATGAGCGGGGTGATGGGGACGCCTCGTGAGGGACACGGGGCCTCTTGGCAAATGATGGCCTCTCCCCCTCTTCACACCCCCTGCCCTTCCTCTTCTTGACCTTGGGGTCAGTGGCTGTTCCTGATCAGGGTCAATCCCTTCAAGGGCAGAACATGGGGCAGGTTATCAACCCTGTTCTGGGGGCCAGGTTCCCATGTCTGCAGCAGACTGTGACTTCAGGGCTTGGAGTGGGGGTACAGATGTTAGAGGAGCACCCTGGGGGCTGTCCCCGAGGGTGGTTGGCCGGGTCTGGGTGGCAGCTGGTGGTGATGGCTGGGAGAGACCAGTCCTCTCCACCCTGCCCCAGTACTGTCCCCGCTTGGAGAGTTGGACACAGCCCAGCCAGCAGCACGTGGCATGGAGTGTCAGAGGCTTGCTGACCCTTACCCGGGGCGCGAGTCACTGGCCCCCTGGGGATCCTCCGATTTCCCCAGCCAGATGTGACCTCCCCCCTTGGAGTGCCAGCCCCATATGGAGGCCAGATGTGGAGCTGGGTCGGCATGAGTCAGCCTGAGGTCGCAGAATGCGGGTTGACCACTGGGTTGGGCTGGGCAGGCAGCAGGCCCCAGGGACAACTCAACAAGAAGACCCTGAGCCCGCAGGGCGCTGCACTGGCCGGGGCCTCCTGCCATGTGCCGTGGGGGTGGGAGTGGGCACAGCACTGCCGGCCACAGCGACTCCCCTCCTCACAGACAGGGCCCAGAGCCTAGGCGCCCACCGCAGCCGCCCCCACGGCTGCCGCCAGCTGAGGCCTGGCGCTTCCTTTCCTCTGAACATCCTGTTTTTAGGAGGGAGGTGTGGGTAGGGAAGGGCACCTAATGAAAGATGTCTCCTCCCATTTCACAGATGAGGAGACCGAGGGTCAGGGTGGGGGTGGGGAAAGGTGGAGATCTGTCCAAGGTGCCTGGGGACACCAGCCGGCTTCCCCTACAGACAGGCAGCACTTGACTTCTCCCCACTCCCCAGTGACCCGTGTTCAGGCTCACAGAGCGTGTCCCTCCGCCCCCCGCCCCCCAGGCAGGGCTGGGATGGACAGCTCTCCCCAGGGGGGATGGATCTCGTGAGCCTTGACGCCCCCCTTCCCTGGGATCAGAGCCTTGGCACGAGGACCCCAGCACCATTGCTGTTCCTGGGGTCCACCCCCGCCTGCTGCTCTACCTGCTTGTGCGAAGCCCAGGCTGCGATGGGAGGGGGTGCGCCCCGGGGGTGCACACCCTCTGAGCAGCCTGGGTTACCTGCGGGGAGGCAGCTGAGGCCTTAAAAACAGTAGTTTCTCAAAGGCTCCTAAGGGTCACCCCCAGGGTGGGCTCCTCCCCTGGCAAAGCTCTGGTCAGGATCTGCTTTGGTCCCTGTTTCAGGCAACAAGGCCCTTTCTCTGGGTGTCGTTCCACGTTCCGTCCTTCGAGGGTGGTTTGATTTTTAGGAGCTGAGCGAGTGTGGTGTTCACAGGGTGACCAGGGACTCAAGTCCCTGCTGGACGCCCACCCTCCAGGACAGGGCTCTCCACACAGCGTCCTGGGCGTGGCCAGGGGGCAGCCTGGGGTGGGGGCGCTGCTTCGTGCAGTGGGGTTTGCTCGAGGTGACTGTGGCAGGACTGGTGGTGGGGGGCTCTTAGGTGGGCCCCTCTGAGGAGCAGGTAGGCATCTGCAGCCAGGATGTGAGCCCTGAGGCATGGGGACCGACTCTCGTGCCTGCCTCTTCCCCCAGAGGCTGGAGCCCCAGTGATGATGGGAACCGACCTGGGGGACCTTACGGCAGGCAGGGAGCGCCCCACTGTTGCCCTGTGTGTGTGCTGGGTGGGTGGGGCTGCAGCGGCCAGCCTAGGGGGAAGGTGTGGGTGGTGGGGCATCTCCTGAGGCTGTGTGAGGCCCTGGGGGGCAGGGGGCGGGTTTCCGCTGTCCTCCGGATCACACTGACAGCTGGGGCTGTGCTGTGATGGGGTGGGCTGGGCTGTTACAGTTCCTTCTGATGGGGAGGGGGGCAGCTTTGGGGGGTGTAGGGCCAGGCCCGAGTCCACTGTCCTGCCTGAGCCTCTTGCAGACAAGGGTGGCCAATCTCCTGAGCTCGCCTCACCTGTGGGCTGGGGGTGCCAGGCCGTCTCCCTGGGGATCCGGGCCCCTAGCATCCCCAGAGTCTGGTTTTCTGAACCCAGATCTCCTGATGTCCCCTCCTCCAGGTAGCCCCAGGCAGTCGGCTCACCTCAGGCCCCCGCACCCCTCTCGCTTCCCAAGAACAGAGCCTAAAAGCACTAGGACCTGGCAGGGGAAACTGAGGCCGCCTCTGTGTTGGTCTGAGAGAAAGGGTTGCACTGTTACTTCTGCTGAGGGCAGGGAGGATGGAACCTTCCCTAACCCCAAGCTGGGGGGTCCCCATTTTATTCCAGGTCTGAGGTGGGGCCTTGGTGGGTGTGGCAGGAGGTGGCAGCCCCGGGGTTTTTCTGACCACAGCGCACCTCCAGCCCTCCACCTGTTGGGATGAAAACTGGGGGGGCTGCTGTGACACCCCACCCACACCCCTTCCGCTCGCCCGCCCCTGCCGCAGGTTAGCATCTCCAAGAACAAGGCTGGCCCTGCTTGACTGCTGACCTTCACAGGGCGGGGTGGGGGGAGGTGGTGGTGCTGGGAAACATGTGGTCAGAGCTGTGCTTTATGAGAGCAGCTGCAGCTCCTGACACGCTTTCCATACCGGGAGATTTATGGGGCCGCGTGCTTTTAATGGCTTCTGCGGGGCCGGTGTCCTTCCCCCCTTCGTCCTGGCCGCCGTCTTGGAGGCAGATGGGTCCCGAGCTGGCCTGGCCCATCAGGAGGGCACGGTGGGGTGGGGAAGGCCGGGGCTGACCACCCAAGCCTCCTTGGGAGGGACAGCTGCTGGGAAGCCCCTTGGGACCCCCATCTGAGCAGCCCATAAATCGAGTAGACCTCCAGGAGGCAGGAAGCCTCTGTGCAGAGGTGTCCCAAGCTGGTGAGGAGAGGAGGAGGAAGCGCCCCCCCCACCCAGAGCCACAGCCCCAGGCCCCACCCAGCAGGTCGTCCATCTGGGCTGGGCTGGCACTAACTGTGTGCTCCTCGCTGACCCAGCGGCTGTGCTGGGTCCTAGAACCTGGCCTGCCTGGGGGCTTTGACCCCAGCCAGACATCCCCCGAACCTGTGAGTGGGGGGCGGCAGTCAGCCTAGTGCTGCCTCCTGCCACTGACAGTCCAAGGTGCTGGCAGGGCCAGGTCCTCGGAGGGTCCAGAGCTGACCCATCCTTGGTCTCCAGGGTCAGGGCAGGAGCTGGGGATGGAGCAAGGCTTTGAAGGAACCAGGGGCTGCCTTGGGGTGCACAGTTCCCTTTGGAGGAATACGAGCTTGAGCTCGAGGTGGGACCCAGAGCTCCACTTCTCAGCTCACTGTGGCCGGCCTCGCCCGGACTCTGTGGAGGTGGAGGCCCCGGGGAAGGAGAGCCTCTGGAAGGACATGTGGGGGCCTTGGGCTGAGCCACGAATGGGCCTGGACAAGGCCCCTGGCCTGCCTCCTAGCCCGAGGCCCCATGGCTCGGACCAGCCCGGTGCTGACCCCTGCCTCCCTGGGCTGGTGCTCACTGCCCTGCTCTCCCTCTCAGAGCCACAGCCCGCCCTTGAGGGCCAGGGGCAGGCCTCTACCGAGGGACAGACAGCCATGTGCCCAGTAGCTGGGCGGCAGACTCAGGCCAGCAGGGGAGATTGGCCCTCTTATGCCCTGCCCTGGTGGCTAGGGATGGCTCCTGGTGTGCAAGGCCCTCCCGTGAGCTCTGGAGTTGCTGAGGGGACCCTGTTCCAGCCTGCCTGCAGCTACATCAGCAAAACTCTGGGGCCCTGGGGGTTCACAGCCATGTGCCCAGTAGCTGGGCGGCAGACTCAGGCCAGCAGGGGAGATTGGCCCTCTTATGCCCTGCCCTGGTGGCTAGGGATGGCTCCTGGTATGCAAGGCCCTCCCGTGAGCTCTGGAGTTGCTGAGGGGACCCTGTTCCAGCCTGCCTGCAGCTACATCAGCAAAACTCTGGGGCCCTGGGGGTTCGGAGGCCAGAAGACCAGGTGTAGCCTGGCCTCTGGGACCTGGAGGCCGACTCTACTCTCTCGGGCCGCACTCTTCCCCTGCTTTTCCTGTGGGCACTTGCTCCATCCTGCAGGTCTCCGCTTCCATGGGTGGGGGGGACCTTCTGGAGCCAGCCTCACCTGCGTCTCCTTGGGGGTTCCTCCCTACACCTGAGGCCAGCTGACTGCACAGGAGCAGAGCTGTGGGACCTGTGCAGCTCGCCTGCACTGCGGCCCAGCCTGGGAGCAGGCAGACCCCGGCAGGTGGGGCAGGCTCCTGTTCCAGCCAGTCTGCTTTAGCCACTCCCTTGTTTGTGCTTTGGAGTCCTGCCCCCCACCCCCAGCTCAGTGCCAGGACCCTCCCTCTTTCTTAGGCGTGGGGGGTGTCTTGGCAAGCCTCTTATCACCCTGGCCTGATCTCACCATCTGCCTTTCTGAGGGTCATCTCACCTGTCTCCTTTCTGAATAAGGGGTGGGGGAATCCTCCCTGGAGCCCCTTTTTCTGGCCAGTTTAGGACATCGGCACATGGATGTGGAGCTTAGACGTCCCAGGGGCTGAGGCTAGTTAGCCTGGAGTGAGCGTCATGTGGGTGTAAGGGACACAGCCTTGGGGACCGTGCCCCTCAGTCAGTTCAGTCACTCAGTCATGTCCTTTTTGTGACCTCATGGACTGCAGCATGCCAGGCTTCCCTGTCCATCACCAACTCCTGGAGTTTACTCAAACTCATGTCCATCGAGTCAGTAATGCCATCCAACCATCTCATCTTCTACTCTCCCCTTCTTCTGCCTTCAGTCTTTCCCAGCATCAGGGTCTTTTCCAATGCCTAGTTTTTCCGTGCGCCCAGGGTGGACAAGAAGCTGCCCCTGGCCACCGCAACCCCGCCCCCATCCAATTGGGCGGTGCCGTGGGCCCCCAGGGGATGCCGGTTGTTCCTGGCCCCCAGCCAGCAGGGCGTCAGAGGTGGTGGCGGCCCCGCGCTGTCTTGAGCCCCGCACGCTCCCCGAGGGGGCCGAGTTGGTCTGCCTGAGGTCACTGTTTCAATGTGTATTCTGAGTACTTTCAGCCGTGTGTGCACCGCGGGGACTTGGCCTGTGCACTGTGTGTGCAGACCATACTTGGTGGGCTGTGTAATATGCGGAGGCGTTGCCAAGGGCAGCGGAAATGTGGACTCTGTCCAGCATAATCACATGAATCTACCACCACCCGCCCCTGCCCTGCCCCCGGCCCGTCCCACCTGCTGCCTGGGTACTGCTGGGGTAGGAGGAGGACGAGGGCCAGCGCTTCGTCCCCATCGAGCTGTGTCCACCACCAGGTCCCCCTCCAGGCTGGGGAAACAGGCTGCCCTGGAGAGAGGGGGGTGCAGACCAGGGAAGGTGGGGCAGGGGTCTCCAGGCCTCATCCCTGCAGGTCTGCGGAGAGATGGGCCCCCGGGGCCTGGAGGGCCATCCGGCCCTCCCCTCCCACCTGGCCCTGAGCTGAGGCCCCGGATCCTGAGTCTTCAATTCCAGTGGTTATGAGTTTGCTGGCCCTGCCAGAACAAAGTACCACTGAGGGGCTCAAACAACAGGAATTTGCTTTCTCCCAGTCTTGCCGGTTGGAAGTGCCGGCTCAAGGGGTTGTCGGGAGTGGTTACCCGAGGCTCTCTCCCTGGCTTGGAGGCGGTCGTCTTGTTCTGTCTCCACGTGGTCTTCCCTCCGTGCATTTCTGTGTCCTGATCTCTGTGTCCTCATCTTCTGAGGACACCAGTCATATTGGGTTGGGGCCCACCCTTCGAACTTCCTCTTAACTAACTCTTAAAAGACCTTATCTCCAAATACTGCCACGTTCTGAGTTACTGGGGGTTAGGACTTCAGTGTATTAATTTACCGGCAGGGAGCGATACCCAGTTCAGCTCGTAACACCAGTACATGAGCAAAGCCACCTTCTCCGGGGTGCCTTCGGCATCATCCTTGTTGAGCCACCTCAGCCCACCCTGGCTGCAGGGTGGGACACCGCGACTGGGCCAGGGGTCTGAGGTCCCGCACAGGCGGCAGCTGCACCCTGGGGGAGGCTCATTCTGCATTCAGCTCAGTCCTGAGGAGAGGAAGCTGGGGCTCCCGGGGATGCTGGGGGCGGCTCCCCTCCTTTGCTTAGCTGAGGGGCACTCAGTTGCCACGGTGACCTCTGTCTGCACAGTCAAACACACACAGCCCAGCCACTGCTCCAGGCTGGAGGGCTCCCCACCCCCTCCTCCGAGTTCACACTGAGTGTTGAGTCCCTTGGTGACGAAAACATGGAAACGGTTGCCATGGCAGCCATTCTTTGGAGCCCTCAGACTGGAGTGCAAAGTTCAGGATGCCCAGGAACAGCTGAAATGAAAATATGGGAAAATCCGCCACTTGCTTCACCCCAGAAGGGTGGGATTCAACGGAGGGCCTGGCCATTCGTGCCCCTTCCCGTCGTCCTGGGCCAAGCGTGGGCACAGAAGGGGCGTGGGGAGGGCCTGGGGAGTAGCCCCCTGAGACCATGAGAGAGGCGGGCCAGCATGGTTAGTGGGCCCAGCGCCCGGAGCTAAGAGGGCAGGTGAGACTGCTTGGCCCCCTTCGGGTGCACGTCTGCGTGGCTCCTGGAGCCCCTGAGCCCACCCTGTCTTGGTGTCTTCACCTGTAGAGACAAGCCCCTTTCTCAGGGGGGCTCAGGTCTACACAGCTGCTAGGAGAACCTTCAGCCTGACCAGGGGCGGAGGGGAAGGTGCCAGGTTCTGACCGTGGGGATGGAGGAGGAGTGCAAGTTTCCTTTGGCTGGAGGCTAGTACAGCGTAGACTTCTGCACTTAGCCCCTGGAACGGCATGTGTCCCCTACACCCAGAATAGGCCTTGTGGGGGTTCTGGTGACTTGAGATAACCACCCAAAGGGCCCTGCAGTCAGCGTTGTTTGGGAAACCCACGGCTGTGCCGGCACACACAATTTGTAGATTAAAGGCTCTGAAAAGTCCCGCAGTAAGAAAACTTTTTGACTTTAACCCACTATTTCATCTAGTGGTTTGAACAAAATCTATTCCCCCCTCCCCCTTAAAAATGTTTTTTCTCTTATAACATACCTTATATCCGGTGGAAATAGCATCTGTTGACATTCACTAGGGCATTGATTCTCAAACTGTGTTCCCTGGATCAGCACCATCTGGAGTTTGTCAGAAGTGTGCCTTCCTGGGCCCCACTCCACACCTGGTGAATCAGAAATTGGGGCGAGGCCAGCGACGTGTGTGTGACAAGCTGTCAAGGGGATTCTGATACCTGCCTCAGCTAGAGAGCCCCCATACTCAGGGAAATAGTAGCAGAGAACTGAAAGGGAGGGGAATGGCCTGGGGGCTTGGGGAGGGTCCAGAGGACAGGGTGGCCTGGCAGGGATGGGAGGGGATAGTACAAGGACCGTGGACTTCAGAAGAGGTGCTGTGGCTGCCTTCAAGGGCTGCTCAGGGTACATGGCCCCTGGGCACTGCGACCCCAGTCTGAGCTTAGATTAAGAGCAAGGTTGTGTGTCTGGGGGTGTCATGAGGCTTGATGTTAGGTGGTGGGGCCACTGGAAATAGCCAGGAGGTACTGCCCATGTTGGTCTGCCCCCAGTGGCCAGCACTGTGCTCATGGAGGGCACTTGCCTGAACAGCTGGATTCTGCCCAGAATTCAGGGGGTGTGGTCAGTTCCTATAGTGTCTTCCTGGACTCTAAGGGGGACTGTCCCCAAAGACAGGGCTGGGTGGCACCTTCAACACAGGCAGGAAGTAAGACTTCTCAGAGCAGTGGCCTTGGCAGATGTATCAGCAGGCAGGGTTCTAGGATCAGCTTTGCCTCCACACACCCATTCCCCCAGTGGGGCTCCCCCTGCGGTCACTTCCCAGCACTGGGTCTCCTATTCCTTCTTCACCAAACAGGCCGCCCCATCGCGGGCCCTCTCGGCGGCAGAAGTCAGGGCGCCCAGGTGGCAGCCGAGGCCCACGCCCTACCTGTGCTTCCTTGCAGCCGTCCAGATCCACATCCTGAAGGCGGACAAGGCAGGGGACTGGTGGAAGTTCACGGTGAACATCATCTCCGTGTACAAGCAGGGCACCAGCCGCATCCGCCGCGGTGACCAGAACCTGTGGATCCGCTCGCGGGACATCGCCTGCAAGTGCCCGAAAATCAAGCCCCTCAAGAAGTACCTGCTGCTGGGCAACGCGGAGGACTCGCCTGACCAGAGCGGCATCGTGGCGGACAAGAGCAGCCTGGTGATCCAGTGGCGGGACACGTGGGCGCGGCGGCTGCGCAAGTTCCAGCAGCGCGAGAAGAAGGGCAAGTGCAAGAAGGCCTAGCGCGGAGGCAGCGGCGCGCCGGCGGGCTGGGTGCGGGCCGGCCACCGCGGCGGGGACTTGGCTCACGGGGGCTTTCCCAGCTGGGGGGAGGGTGGGGGCGGGGCCGGGGCCCTCGGCGGCCCCGCCCCCAGCCCCCTGGGCGGCCAGGCCCCGGAGAGTTGAGGACCGAGACTTAGCTACCTCACGGGCTCCTTCCAGAGCAGAGATGCGTTTCCCCGGGGCGGGAGGGTGGCCGGGGCAGGGGCGGGCAGGTGGGCCGCAGCGATGGGTAGAGAAGGGCACGTGAGAAGGAGAACTGTGAACCCCCAGGCCCGCAGCCCCAAACAGAAAACCCCGTTTGGTTCCCCTGACCCTTCTTGGGGGATTGCCACAGGAACCCTGGCTGTGACAACTCGGGCTCCCGTCTGCAGTGGCCTGGGGGCACCGGGGGGTGGGGGGTGGGGAGTGGCCTGTCCAGCCAGCCCTCCCCGTGCCCCCGCCATCCTCCCTGTGGTGGGGGGTGCGGAGGGGTTACAGTCTGTGCAGCCAGAGCAGTGACGCCCCTCCTGGTCCTGCCCTGGCCGGGATTGGGGTGGGTGGGTGCTTGGCCAGGCTTCTGGACCAGGGACACCCCCAAGAAGCCCACGCCGGGTGGTCGGTCACTGCTCACGCCGGAGCTGTCTGATGGAGGAGGCATTGCCAACGCAAAACCTCCCAGAGAGTTTCCTTTCTGGAAAGTTGGAAGCAGCCCCTTTATGACATTTTCCAGGGGAGGGGGAGGGGGCACTGGCTGGGCTTACGGCAGCGACACTATTTGTGTAATGACATCAGCTCCCACAAGGCCCCTCAGCAATGTCAACAGCTGGGAAGGGCCTGGAAGGCAGGCTGCTAAGGCAGTTGGGCCTGGCGGGGATGGGGGGTGGGAGTGGGCTGGCTGGAGTGGGGACCTGCTCCACTGGCTCAGGGAGGCGCGGGAGTGCCCAAGCCGCAGGCTGGCAGGGCTGGAACCATTAGGGTCCCAGGTACCAGGGAAGCCGTGCCCACTTCCTGCTGGGCCCTCACTCCTGACTCCCCAAGGAGCAGACAGAGGAGGCTTCCCACCACCATCTTGGTATGGCCTGGGTGGCACCTCACCCCCTCTGGCGGCCCCCTCTGTGGATGCCTCCCAGGCCCCCTAGTGGGGTCAGGCTCCCTTTCCAAAGCTTCCGAGAGATACTGTCTCCAAGCCGGAAGCCCTGAACGTCCAGGTCTGATGGCCTCACACAGGACCTGTGCCCAAGGGCCCCCACCCCCCTAGCCGGCACTCTGAATTCGAGGCCTGGCTCCTCTCTCAGTCAGGAAATTGGTTTCATCTTCCCTGCTGGAGTTTGGCTGCTCAGAAGGGTCACACCAAGTATGAAGCTCGGGCCCTCCTGGTTTGGCTTTCCTCTGCTTCCTCCCACATCGCCACCGCCACCATTTACCGAGCACCTGCTCTGTGCCAGGCACTTTACCCCCGTAACCTCACACTATCTTCATGACAGCCCCGTGAGACAGGGGTCCTCACCGGGTACTATAACCCCTCTTTGGTTCCCTCACAGGCTGCAGGGGGTGCTTCTGGGTGAGTCACCCCTGAGACGCTGGCCCTGGTGATGGCATCTGGCCTGGAGAACAGACGTCAGGAACTGGGGGCTGGGATGGGCACAGTCATATCTTGAGAGGTGACAGCCAGGGCAGTGCGTGAGGCCAGTGTACACTCACTCCAGGTTCCAGGCAGGCAGGCCATGGCTGGTCCTAAGGTGTAGGCAGAAAGGATGTCTGGTTGCTTGGAGGGGTTCCAGGGATGCCCCCAGGGGCAGGGGAAGGACAGAATGGGCCTGGGAAGGGGTCGCTGTCCTGCCAGACTCCGAGCCCTAGGCTGGAAATGTAGGGCCCTCTCCACCCAGTCGGCCCTCCCCCGCTGCCCGTGTGGTTCGGGTGGGTTTTGTTGGCTCACAGTCCATGAGAAGCTCTGTCCTGTGTGGGCAGTCGTCCTCTTTCTGTTTGCACCGGCATGGCAGCCCTGCCAGCTCCACCCTAGGCCCAAGTCTCAGTCCCTGTTGTGAGGGGGGCTTGCACTGGTGGTCTCCGTGGCCAGCAGCCCGCCAGGCAGCAATGCATCTTGCTTTAAATTCAGCCAGTCTCACCCTCTGGCTCAGCACCCTGAGAGCAGAGTAGCCTGGCCTCTGGGGAATGTCAGGGCCACCAGTCAGCTAGTGGGGAGAGGAACTTGGGGGGGGGGTGCTCAGTCCTGGCAGGTGGCCTTCCCCACCCAGCCAGAACCCAGCCCACCACTCCTCTGAATCCAGCCCTCCCCCTTGGGAAAGCACCCCTCTTCTTCCCTCGCCCACCCAACCCGGGTGGAAATGGAAATAGGAATTGAGGTTCCGGTCTGTACAGTTAGGAAAGGATGTAAAATGGAACTAGATTTTGAAGAGTGTATTAACCAGAGTTGTGATATGTAGGTGTTTGAAGAAAAACATACCAGATTAGTCTTTCTTTTTTTAAAGAGATTTCCAAGTTGTCCTTTTTCTTACCTGCTGGGGGGTCTGGAGCCCCTGACAGCGGGGTCCCTGCTTTTCTGACACATAGTAATGCTAAGGATTGGGGTGGAGGGAAGGAAGAAGGATGAGGGGGGCTGCTCTCTGGACTCACCTGCAGCTTGGCTTCTGTTCTGAGCAAAGGAGGGTGAGGCAGGTCCTGGTGGTAAAGTGGGAGGGACCCCCGCAGTCCAAGCTGGGGGGCTGGGAGCTGCCCCCAGGCCTTTGGTACCCACCTAGCACTCTGCCCCCAGAGTAACCGCAGGAAATGGGTACAGCCTGTCTTGGGTTAACCCCAGGCTGGAGACTGAAATCAAGGAGAAGACCCCTCGGGGTCAGGAGATGGTCCCTTTAGGCAACTGAAAAATGTTTGCAGTCTTCCTTTGATCAGTGAGACCCAGAGTGGATGAACTAGACCCATGGATAGGGTTACTGGGCCACGGTTCATGGCCATAGCCAAGTCGTACCCTAAGGGTATCGAAGTGTGTACTTGTAGGGCCTCGCCCCTGTCAGAATCAAGCCAGTCCTGCTCCCCGCGTCCTTGGACGTGGCTCCCCCTCCCCTCTGCACCTCCCCACTCCCCCCCTGCGTTCCGGAGTTCTGTTCACTCAGAATTGTAAATGTTTAGTTGTGACCATGACATATTGTTTGGGTCAGTGTTCCTTTCCAATGCATACTAATATATTATGGTTATTATATATGAATATATTTAATGACATGGAAAAAGTTGTGGATTTTTTAAGTTTTTTCTTTTTTTTTTTGGTTAGAGTTGTAATGGACCCAGATGGAACTTGTAACGTGGGCCCCACATGATAGAACTAAATTCAGATATCAATTAAATAAACTCTTGTACACTGTTCTCTGTCTCCCAGTTTTTATTGGTGGCCTGAGCTAGGGGTGGTCAGCCTGCTGGGTGAGAGGCTGGTGAGTCTTGAGGCCATTTAAGGAATATGGCTTCTGGTCTAAGAACTCCCAGCAAGACAAACCTGAGACCAAGGCCCCGTGATGCTCTGGAGCAATGGTGCCCAAACTTTTTGGCACCAGGGGCTGGTTTCATGGAAGACAGTTTCTCTACAGACTGGGGAGATGGTGGATGGTTTCAGGGGGATTCAAGTGCATTACATCTATTGTGCACTTCATTATTACATCAGCTCCACCATTAGATCCTGGAGACTGGGGGCCCTGGGGATAAGCCAGAGCCTGCCTGTGCTCTTCCCCATCTGACTCAGAACCTGCAAGTAGTTATTGCCCTTCATGTAACCAGTTTCTTCTATTCAAGTAGAGGGGAGACTCACCGGCAAAGACAGCAGGGTCAGTGACACTGGAGAATGTTCTCAAGCCGTCATGTGCTAACACTTCGTGAGGTACAGGGATGGGGCCGGGGCCAGCGCCACCAGGAACTGAGCTCACTGGGTTTCTGGGAGACTATATTTAAACTTCCGAATGGTTGTGATTTCTCTATTAAATAAGCAATTCAGTCATTAGGAACATGTTGTGTTGCCATGCAAAGTGGAACCGATCGTCACCAGGAAGCTATAATTTCTGCACCCAGCTGTTTCGAAGACAAGTCTCAATGACACAGATTCATCCTTCCCTGTATGGCACGGAAGGCCGTTCCCACTGCATGATCTGGCTGGGAAGTCATGAGCTGCTGCTCAGGAAGGACTAAGGGTTTCCCAGGGTGCGCCAGTGGTAAAGACCCTCCTGCCAATGCAGGAGACATATGAGACACGGGTTCAATCCCTGGGTTGGAACGATCCCCTGGAGGAGGGCATGGCAACCCACTCCGGTACTCTTGACTGGAGAATCCCATGGACAGAAGAGCCTGGAGGGCTGCAGTCCATGGGGTCTGAAGCAACTTAGCACACATGCAGGAAGGAATAAGGCCCGTCCTGCCTCAAGGGCTGTAGGCACGGAAGCTGTGCTCTCAGAACCAGGGGTCAAAGCCAGCGCAGGTGGATGTAGGGGTGGTCCCCAGTGTAAGCCCCATCACAAGGGAGCACTGACTGCCCGTGGCAGAGACGGGATACAGGTCCCAAGTGGCCGGACAGGCCAAGGGGAAAGCGAGGCTCTTCTGCAGCTTTGGGCTCCCCTCAAAGCCAGTTCAGACCCAACTGGACCATTTGCCGGATTTTAGACATCTGCCAAACTCAGTGCAGGAAATCAGCCGGCTCCCTGTGGAGCACTGACCCAGGGTGGTTGGAAAAGTCCATTTTAGAGACTGGAATGCTGAGGCATAAGGAAACAAATTCCCATCAGGGACTTGGGGGCCAGCAGAGTTCAGTCAGAAGCCCAGACCCTGCTAGGTGAGAGCTCCCCAGGGTCTGGCCAAGGAGGTGCCCACATTTCTAAAGGCCTCCCCCACACCTCCACCTGCCAGGGCCTGAGACAGCACCGTGGATGGGGGCCGCCCGCTCATGGTAGAGACACACCTGGGTTTCAGACTCTGTTGAACACAGCTCTGTCCATGTTAAGACTAAATAAAGATGTATAAGAAATACACCAAGAAAACCTAGGTGTGAAAGGACAGACAGCCCATGTGAGAAATACAGCAATGAATTAATCCATCCAAAAACTGTATCAAAGTGGAGACTCGACCCGAGCATCTCACCCCCACCCTCATGTCAGGGTGGATGTGGGCATGCAGGTGGCAAGGGCCCTGCCTCCAGCCCACCCAGCAATCGCCCCCTCTTGCCCTGGGGGCCCAGGATGTAGATATTGTACAAAAGTTTCTAAATCCCTTCTTTTCCATGCATTTTTTTATTTAAGGGGGTGGGATCACAGGTGGGAACCCCCCCCACAATAAAGTCTGTCAGTGTTTGGGAAAAAAAAAAAACGTGGAGACTCTACAGGCCAGCAAGTCTGGTCTGCAAAGATGCAGAGGCCTTCTGTTACTGCAGGCAGTTGGGAGGAACTCTGAGGCCATAAGAAGCAATGAAGGAAAGAGGAGCCTTGGACCACTTTTCAAAAAAAAGATGGGGAAAACCACACTTACCTACAGCAGGGCTAGGTTAGAAAACCCAGCTAGATAAAAGATGACCTTGCGCTAGTCTACGCCAAGAGGCAGGGAGTACCAGCCACAGGCCAGCCGGCAGTTCTCGGAGGACGCACGGGTCAGGAGCGCACCCAACGCTTTTCAAAGCAGGACGGTCTGGAGTCCTGCAGGAGCCCGGTGGAAGGAGGGTCCAGGGCTTGGCCAGGAGCAGGTGTCCTGGGGCTACTGAAAACTAAACTTTAGTGACAGTTGTTGATAATCATGAGGCTTCAACAGAACAAAAGCACCAGTTGGAACCAGGTACCCAGATTCCTTTACATGGTACACCTTGCCTCGAGAATTCCATGGACAAAGGAGCCTGGCGGACTACAGTCCATGGGATCACAAAGAATCGGACACAACTGAGCGACTAAATAACAACAAGACTTTAAATGCTTATGATTAGTAAATAATCAGTTCAACAATACTTATGATGTTGTTTTAATAAAGTTACTTTCATTGGAAATGCACCCAAGATGATGGGGTCTCGCTGCTTTCTATGCTTAGAGTTGTGCCTGTTCACGCCACCTGTCCAGAGCTTTTGAGCCACCCTGGGACCCTGGTCCTGATGCTTCTGTGGGGCGTAGGGGACGGGAAACCAGGTCTGGCCAGACCCAGCTGGAAAAGGCCACAGGACTGCACCATGTGCCCTGATGCAGCAGACCCTGAGAGGCTCCGCCCAGCCACTCGAGATGCCTTGCCAGTTTCAGGCCACCCTTCCGTTCAGAGTAGGCCAGGTGTCTCCTGTGAGAAGCCCACTCCGAGGAAGCTGGGGTACAGGGGAGCCTCCCTGCCTGGCACTGCTCCAGGCCTGGATGACAGATCCCACAGTCTCAACCAACGAGCTTCTTCCGCCAGCCCTGTCCCTGGGTCCAGAGAAGTGAAGCCACTGGTCCCATGACAGCAGTGCGCGGGCCAGGCCTTGAGCGCGCTCAGCCGGGAGGACAGAGGCTGCTGCGTGAGGACCTGGGCTCCACATTTGGCTCGGAAAGGCCTTCCCCGTGTGGCTGAGGCCGCCGGGGCTCTCGCTCAAAGATGCCTTACGAGTTGCCGGGGCTCCATGCTGAGCAAGTCAGGAGGAGGTGAGAAAGTCAAACAGGCCTTCAGTGCCACCTCCCATGAGCCCGGAAATGGGGGATTCCAAGGAGACGCTGTTTATACAGATTTGGGGTTTTGCACGACAAGATGGGTGGGTTCTTGCTCTTCCACTGGGGCATCCATTGGCAACTGTCCCGCCCCCTGCCCACAGGGAAAATGCCTCCAGAGCGCCTTAAGGTCCAAACCGCCCCCCGCCCCCACCGTCCAGCCTGGCCCCTCTGCTGGTGTCATGGCCTTGACACAAGCGCACCTCCATGTCCTGTCCTCTGCTACCCTGACCTGATCCCTACAGTGGGGCTCCCGCTCAAGGCTGCCCTGCTCCCCACCCTCCGGTCCCCGGTCTGAACACGCTTCCAGGGCCTCTCCAGGTCTGCAAAGGCTGGCTGCCTGGGAGGTCAGCGGGCACCGCTGCTGTGCCCCAGCTCTCTCACATCCTCACGACAGCTGGCGCTGGGTTGGAGAGGAGGCCTGAGCCCTGGACGTGGTGACAGCCTGGCCCAGCAGGTGTAGACTATGCCGAGCCGCTCTGGCTGCTCTGTGCCGACACGGGCTGACTCACCTGGTCCTCATGGCAGCCCTGGAGACAGGAGACCGTCTTCTCTCCATTTCCTAGAGGAGGAAACACAGGCCCAGGCAGGGCACCTGGCCCGTGGTCACACAGCTAACGAGCAATGTGCTGGTCACTGGGGCCATCACTGCCCAGTTCAGGCTCTCAATCTTCGGGGCACTTCCTGGTCCCCTCATTGAGCAGGGCAGGTGACAGTCCGGCCAGTGAGCTGCGAGCAGAGCTGACGGCTTCCCTCATGGGCAGAGCATTCCACAGCTGGTGCGAGGGTGTCCAGAGTCCCCTTTCTTCTGCCAGAGCCGTGGGGCTGTCCCCTGTGCCTAGGTCTGGGCCCCCAGCTGACCTGTGTGGATGAGCAGCAGCGGGAAGGCCCTGACACTGGGACAGATCTAGGTCATCAGGATTTGGGGGGGTTGTGACTACAATACTGTCCTGGCTAACACGGAGCCGAGTTATGACCAGGTACGACCTGGGCAGGCCAGGCCCAGGGCTAGACCGCCACCCGGGAGAACACCGTGTGTCACCATCACACACACAGCAGGTGGAAGTGGGAATACCCAGGTGGCCTGGAAGTGACCCAGTCCCTTGAGGGGAGAGCTGTCAGAAAGAAGGTCACCCACCCTTTGCAGTGACTTAGAAGAAACCGAGCTTGGAGCCAGGGCTCCCCTGACGGAGGCCCGTGGTCTGGACCCAGGTCTTCCCTGCTCACTGCCATTTCAGGTCTCGGGGTCCCAGGAGATAACGCTGTGCCAGGGGCACACAGCCCTCCCGTGCCCATTTTGTAGTCTCTAGAGAATCCCCAGTAGACTCTCCCACCCCAAAATTCCCCTCCCACACACCCGATCTCGCCTCTTCCAGTGAAATTTTGTGCTTGGAAACCACCCTAATTTTTCTATCACCAACGCCAATTCTTTCTCCTTGAGCCATGGATGGCAAAGCAAGGCCTGGCAGCCCGGCCTGCCTTCTGACGGCCAAGGAGGAAGGCACGAAGCTTGGCCCTCCGCCCCTTCCCACCCGGATCCACTGCCGCCTTTGAGGGCCTGGAACCCCACTCAAGGTCTAGCCCATCTGTCCGCCCTCATCATCACACACGCATACATGTGTGCAATGCGTGCAGTGCACACTCATACACACGCAAGATTGTCACAGCTGGTTTGCTGTTGTTCAATTGCTAAGTTGTGCCCGACTCTTTGCAACCCTGAGGACTGCAGCACGCCAGGCTTCTCTGTCCTTCACTATCTCCCTGAATTTTCTCAAACTCACGTCCATTGAGTAGTGATGCCATCCAAACATCTCATCCTCTGTCACCCCCTTTTCCTCCTGCTCTCAATCTTTCCCAACATCAGGGTCTTTTCCAATGGGTCGACTCTTTGCATCAGGTCAGGGCCAGTTTAGAAGCCAGAGAAAGGTCCTGTTCTGCCTGAAGAATCGCACCTTTCTTTGAACTCCACATGGTACTTTCCTGCCTGATTGTTCCCATCTTCCCGCCTGGTTCATCAGATTTGATTCCACTGCTGATAGAGATGCATCAGCTTTGGAAAAGTGGTTTACTACGTCAAGGGAGGAAAAAAGCACATGCTTCTAGGTCCAAGGGTAGTTCCCAAAGTAGAGTCCAGAGATACTTCACCACTAGGAGTGGCAAGCTTGGGGGGGGGAGAAGGGGGGCAGTTACACAGAGCCCTACCTGCATCACAGCGCCTTCCTCCCTCCAAGACACACGTGGCCTTGGCTGCTCGCTGGTCTCCCACGTGGGCATGTGACTGCCCGGATCAGACCAGACACTCCAGGTCACAAGCGCCAAGAATTCAGTTGGAGTTCAGCATCATCCCACAGGTGGCCCGGGACACTGCAGGGGTGGCCGGAATCCACTGGCGGCCAAGGGGCAGTGACCGCTGAGGGACCTTGGGCGGGCACCCCAATGACCAAGGCAGAACCCCAAAGAGCCATCCTGCTTGATACCTCAGCAGAGGCACCACCCGGTTTGTTTTTGCTGAAGCAACGCACAGCGAGGTGAGAACTTTGGGGGAATTTATTGAGAGCGGCTTTCGGGTACCAAGAGGATGCTCGGCTTTACTCCATCACTGGCAGGTGTCCTGGTTGGTGGTCCCTGGATGGCCACTAGTTGGTCGGCCAGACTGCAACCACCACGATGGCCACGAGCAGCAGTAAAATCACCATTATCATCCCTGAAAAACAGAAGCATACAAGACCCCCTGTAATGCTTTCCACCAGCAGAACATCGCCTCTCCCGTTAAGTATCTTCTGAGACAGCGGGGCAGTTCTCCAGGGAGCCCCAGTGTGTGTCAGGGGTGTCAGCAGACAGGCAGGAGGGGGGGACTCTAGGGACCCCAAAGGGTTGCCATCTCGCTACTTGAAGAGTTGTGCCGGCCAAGTGCCCATGCTCCTGACCTGATAGGGCCTCCCCGTTCAGCCCCCCTTGCTCTGGCTTCTGTGTGCAACTTAGCCATGTTTTGTGTCCTCATTAATGACGGTGTGATAAACCAAAGGGCTTTAGAGTTCACAAAGAAATACTGATTCTAGAATCCATTTTCTCCCCATCCACACGGCTTGGCCTTTTCTTCTTGGGCCGAAGAAACTTATGTCTTCCATCTGGAAAGAATTCCAAGAGGGGGACCTTTGCTTTACTTTTTTTTTTTAATATTAACATTCTCTAGTTTTACTTCAACTTTTTGGCTGGGGACCACAATGTACTCCCAGCCAGTCTGCTCCCTGCATCCAGCCAAGGCCACCCCGTCTCCCTTGGTTCACACATCTGGACCTACCACTGCCCATTCCTTCAAAGCAGATGAAGAGCGAGGGGCCAGGAGGACTCAGCTCATTTACCTGACGCCCTCACCACCTTCCTCGCCAAATTCTCTGGTGGGTAATAGGTACTGCCTTCACCCTGAAGGCCAGCATGGTGGTGGCATGCCAGAGACATGGCACGGCTGTGACAGAGCAAGCTCTGAGAAATGAAGGATCCCTGAGCCACCGAGGCTCCGAGAGGGGAGTGAGGAGCAGATGAGATGAAGCATGAGAAAATGCTCTACAATCTGTTGGGGAGTCAGGGGTCATGTGGCCGTCTGGCCCACCAGGACTGCCCACTGCAGGCTGAGGAGCTGTGTTGGCCAAGGTCAGGGTCCCAAGGGTTTAGCAACTTATTCTCTCGAAGGAAGCCACTAACACGTTCTTGATCTTATTAGCTGGAATAACCACTGGCCACATCTGGCTTCAGGAGCTAAAGAGCCACATGTGGCCGATGGCTACTTTACCGGACAAAGACAATACAGGACAGACATCTCCATCATTTTGGCAAGTCCCATTGGGCAAAATGGACATACTGTGTGGAGTTCTGATTATTTTTTTTACTGCCATTTATTTCCACACACAACTGCTGAACTGAGGAATGAATGAATAGCTACTCAATGTGTTTTCAACACTCATGCCACACTTGGACAGCTCCCCGTGTGGGGAATTCTGCTTTCTTCTTGAGTTGGTGTTGTTAAATTATATTTTTTGGGGAAATTGCCCAGTTTTTCCTGAGTATCCAAAATTATTGGCGTAAGGCTATTCCTTAGATTCTCCTATAATTTTAGCACTACACCGTGTCTCAGTCCTTTTTATTTCTCACACCACCTGCTTGTGCACTTTTTTCCCCCAACCTTGCCACAAATGAGCCTTTTTATGAACCTTTTCTGAGAACAAGTTTGACTTTGCTGATCACTTCTCATTTATTAATTTCTCCATTTACTTTTATTAATCCTACAATTCAGCCTTTCTTTGGATTTAGTTTGTCTTTTTTTTTCCTTGAACTTCTTTACTTGAAAGTTAATCATTTTCCACTTTCCTCTAAACAGTACCACTCTAAACCTACAAGTTTTGATACAAAATAATTTCAATAATTTCTAAATTCTATTATTTATCTGCTGCCCTATGTGGCATGTGAGATCTTAGTTCTCGGCAGAGATCAAACCCGTGTCCCCTGCAGTGGAAGCATGGAGTCTTAAATCACTGAACCACCAGGGAATTCCCTCTAAATTCTAAATATTTAAAAATTTTCAACAATGTCTTCTTTGGCCCAATGATTATTTAGAAATGATTTTAAGATTTCCAATTTTACTGAAACAAGCTTATCGAAATGTACTTCTTAAAAATTCTGAGACAAGGACAGTGGTGGTGGTTTTAGTTGCTGAGTTGTGTCCGACTCATGAGACCCCATGGAATGTAGCCCGCCAGGTTCCTCTGACAACGATACATGTAGTATATGTTGGTGTGAAAACATTTGTGATTTCTGTGAGTGACAAAATCGCAAGCACGATTAGCCCTGCCGTGGTTTGCTGCCTACTTTCCTCATTGAAGAAAAGAAATGCTAAAGCTCAATCAGAGGTTTGTGAAGATAAGAGTGTAGATTTCTCATCCAAGTTCATGGACTCCCTGAATTCTATCCACAGGTGCCCAGGGTTCGATGTAATTCAGGCTGGGTAAATTTTAAACCCAACCCAAGTAAGCACAGCTTGCTCATGGTTTTAAACACTGAGGAAGGAGTAAAAAGTTCATGGCAAGCTTCCCTGTCACCTCCCTGTGACAGCGGGTGCACTTTTTCTAACCTGCCATCTTTCTCCAATGAACCAAGAAGAGAATGAACCAAGAGGAGAGCACCTCCTCTTGAGGACCTACGATGTTTTTTTCTCCTGTCTTCATAAAAACCAAGACTCTACGTCAGGGGTCAGCAAACTGTGGCCCACGGGCCATATCTGGCTTCTGGCCTGTTTTTGTACAACTCATGAGTTAAGAGTGGTTTTCATATTTTGAAAGGGTTGTCAAAAAAGAAACAGGAGATGTGACACATTGTCTGGGGTCTGCAAAGCCTAACGCGTTTACTGTCTGGCCTTTTACGGTATTTGCGGACCCTGCTCTGTCACTGAGGCCGACAGTGACCTCAGGGGCTAGGCTCTGGTTCCCGCTCCACTTCTTTCATCTGTGGATTTCCTTTCTTCCTTGTATTAATAAACACAGACATCCATTAACACTTGAGGGGGTGGTGTAATAGTTCATCCAGCATTTCAAGATGCTTGTAGTAAGGGTGGGTGGGTGTGTGTATGTATGTACATGTGTGTGACTATTATCTCAGTTCATCTTGCCAGAACCAGAAGAACACATTTTTTCATTCATTTCTCCCTCCAGAAACATATTCAGGTTGACCAAAGCCTCCACTTGGGCAGGAATCCCACTACTTCTTGGCTGGGGAAAAGGTTTATATTGTGCAATATCTTTCCTTAAAAAATAATGGAAATGGAGGAAGCAGACGGACTGATGGGAAGCAGCGGCAGGACAGTTTCTGGCCCTTCCAAGCCCGGGCTCACCCTGAAGACGAGGGGGAGGACTGCATTTTTTGAGGAAAGAGTAGAAAATGGGCTGAGTGGTAGCTGAGGAAGAAGCCGTGCCACCGACACTCATCCAGGATCTGAGTTGGGAGGACGCCCCTGGGGCTCTGGTCCAGACTGAGGCTGCGATGGCCCAGAGGAGAGGCTCACAAATGGCCCTGAATTTTCAAATCAGGGTGATTATGGGAAAAGCAGAACAAGTGATGAAGACCAAGGAGTCAAGAACAATAACAGGCTGGGAAGGAGAAAGCATACATCTGGTTTGAGTTTCCACGCGTGAAGCCTGCAGTCCAAGGGGAGCGGCCTCGGGCATCCATAGTCACCAGCTTGGGTCACTGCGGGAACTGACCTGCTGCTCCTTTTACCTGATCCTTTCCCTCGAGTGAACTGGAATGGAAATCAGATCAGGCTGCTTCCTGGCTCAAAACTGTCTAGTGGATTAAAATCCACACACTTCATGGTGTTTGAAGGCCCTGGGCCATCCGCCCCGGGGCCCCTGAAGCTACACCCTGTACCTGTCCTCAGGCCACTCTGGCCTCCGGGTCCTCCCACGGGCCCTGTGCCCTGCCTCCCAGCCTGTACCCCTGCTGTCCAGAGGGTGCGCTCTCCCGGCACCCCTGGCCTAGTGAATCCCTGCTCATCATCCAAAACTCAGCATCAGTTTCTGGGCCTCAAGGAGCCGCTTCAAGACCTGCAGTGGACTTTGTCCTCTGTCTCTGCAGCGAACCTTCAACTATGATTCAGGTCCTCGGTTAGTTACTCTTTGCCGCCACCATCAACACAGGAGCATCCATGGCATGGCCTTTGCCCAGTGGGTTCACCACCACGTCCCCAGTGCCTGGAGCAGGGCCTGGCACATGAAAGAGGCACGAGAGGTTCTTCTTTCTATAAATGAATAAATGGGGACCTCCCTGGTGGTCTGGTGGCTAGGACTCTGCGCTCCCAATGCAGGCGGCCTGGGTTCAATCCCAGGTGAGGGAATTAGACCCCACATGCCACAACTAAAGATCCTGCATGCCACAATGAAGACCCAGCACAGACAAATAAATAAAAATAAATATTTCCACAAAACCAAAAGACACTTGCTTCTGGGAAGAAAAGTTATGACAAACCTAGACAGTGTATTAAAAAGCAGAGACATCACTTTGCTGACAAAGGTCTGTCTAGTCAAAGCTATGGCTTTCCAGTAGTCATGTATGGATTTGAGAGTTGGACCATAACGAAGGCTGAGTGCTGAAGAATTGATGCTTTCACACTGTGGTGCTGGAGAAGACTCTTGAGAGTCCCTTGGATAGCAAGGAGATCAAATCAATCCATCCTAAAGGAAATCAATCCCAAATATTCTTTGGAAGGACTGATGCTGAAGCTGAAGCTCCAAAACTTTGGCAACCTGATGCAAAGAGCCGACTCACTGGAAAAAGACTCTGATGCTGGGAAAGGCTGAGGGCAGGAGAAGAAGGGGGTAGCAAAGGATGAGAAGGCTGGATGGCATCAGCTCAACAGATATGGGTTTGAGCAAACTCTGAGAGACGGTGAAGGACAGAGAATCCTGGTGTGCTGCAGTCCGCGGGGTTGCAAAGAGGTGGACATGACTGAGCAACTGAACAACAACTAAATATTTTTTTTTTAATGAATAAATGCATTGATTATCTGGAAGGAACAAGAAGAGCCAATGAGAAGGACACTGAAGGGACAGACAGCAGGGAGAGAGGAGCTGTTAGGACGTGTCAAGGAGGCCAAGAGACAAACTCCCAAAAATGCTCGACCCCAATTGCAAACTCTGCGGCCACACCAGGAGGGTAGAGGAGAGCCCGTCCCTGGGGCCTTGGAGACGGTTCACAGCGCAGCGGGAGCAGAGGGCAGGAGCTGTCAGAACCATAACCAACACAGCGATTCCTCTGTCAGCTGCCACTTATTCTCTCACAGAAACCGGGTTCTACAGATGGTAGCACAGGACAGGTGCGACAAGTTTCCCTAAGGCCCGTGAAGAAAGAAAACGGGCTTCGCCGGCTGACAGCATAGATGGCAATTCGATAAGACATGATACACTGGGTTCTAATCCAAAGATGAAAAGGGGGACTTGGAGAGCAACGACAAATAAGACGCTGACATGTCTAACCCTTTCAGGGCAAAACAGGGCTCCTCCAGATAGGAGGCTTCCAGCAGGCCTAAGTAAACTGGGGTGCACCCAGGGTGTTTGGAGGAAGTCATTCTAAGGTGGCGAGTGACAGTGATAAGCCAACTGCAGCCTCGTGGATTCTTTAGGGTCAAAGAGTAGATGTTTATAAACCTTATCGCTGCAATGCTTT